CATCCTATGTAACAATAAAAACTATAAGACGAATAACTGTCCAAGAATATGCAGCAGATTTAGAAATCTTTTGAAACAAATTGAAAAGTTCATTGAAGTTAATATAGTAATGAGGACCATACGAAAATAACAGGAAATTTTTTTCATAATCAAAATCTTATTTTGTTTAAAGAGTAGGCGCTTTACTACAGTGATATTTTTACACGTATTAATTTCATACAACAGTGGTTTTAGAACTATAATTGCATTACTGACTAATTTATCCTCTCGTCAAACGATTAACCCTACTATACCGTACTTCTGTTTTGATAACTATGTTCTCCGCTTTTCTTAAATTAATTACTCAAAGCACTTTCAGATTGGTATTTTTGAAAGAACATTTAAATTTTATTTTTACAAACTAAGCATGCATGTCATTCAAATTAGTAATATAGGTTAATCGTATTCACAACTTATAACGAAATATATAGCGATATAAATCAACACTTTGCTAAAATTTAGAATAAAAATAATTAGCAAATTAATTTTATCGTTATTGTTATACAATCGCCCCTCGCCGTGCTATAGTGAACTTAAAAGCTCACACTATCATCATTCTTGCACATCATGCCTCTTATATAATAATAAAAAAATATGCTTAGTAAGCGTAAAATGACGAAAAGTTTCGATATGTGTGTACTACATTTTATGAACGTTATTTGAACTTACAATCTTATATATTTTATCCTCAAATCCATCATTACGAATATTTTCTAGCGGCAAAGATTGTTCTTAATTTTTTACTGAACGTATTTAATTCTACAATAATCTCATTAATAATTTATCTTTTTAAATTAACACCAATGTTAAACTATGCAACAAAATCTTTACGGTGGAAGAGAAGCATATTTATGATTTACCCAGTGAGACAATTTTCAAATAGATTTTCAAATAACATTGTAAGAAATGCGCACAAAAATGATGATGCATCGAAAAATACTTCAACTTGGTTAATCAGAAATGCAAGAGAAATCAAGAATGTTGAAGAATTAATGCGTAAAGGTGCTTAAAATTTTGATTCTATAAAAAAAAAAGTCGAATTAAAATTTCTTAGCGTTAGTATATAGACCGATACTCCGATACTAATTTGTTTTATAATCATTTTCTAGAAAAACCGGCTGAAAGTTTCACGATCCTCCCACGAAGCACACGATCCGGCATTAAGTCGTCATATTGGATAGATGATTTAATCAATAAAACCAAACCGAAATATCCAAAGGATTCCTCAGAAACACTTGTAATTCCTAAACGAGAGATAACAATGAAGAAAGTGACAGATTCTTATGTTGAAGAGTTTTTACCTTTTAAAAGTGATCCGGATTTATTAGAAGATTATATTAGTTCCGATGGCGCCATTAGGTAATGCACATTATTAATGTTTAATTATACATAGTATATATATATATAATGAAAATAATTATTTAAAATTTTTATGATGAAATAGAGTAGGAAAGATCTTTCCGGACCTTGATTTATTAGCAACGTTTATAGCATTTAAGCATTGTGAGAATGAACACGGGGACCCCTCACCTTTAACTATTGTTACAGCTTCTGTTGATAGGTTAGACTTAATAAAGCCCATACCTATCGTTGATATTAGACTTTCTGGTATTCATTTCATATTTTCTTTCAAACCAATATGTAAAGATCGAATATTGCTGATATTTATTATAATTAGGACACGTTACATATGTTGGGTATAGTTCCATGGAAGGTAATCTAAAAGAGCTGGTTATTGATTATATAATGAATATTAAATTCAATATAGTTTTGATTAAGATGGAATATCTACAAGAAGGGGTTCTAAAAAACATTCAACCGACACCAGAAGTTGATCGAGATGCACTTTCAATGTGCAAGACAATTTTGAATGCTCGATTTACTATGGTAGCTCGAGATCCTTTTACGGGCAAAGCAGCACAAGTTAACACATTACAATTGGAAAACGAGCATCAAAGAAAGCTTTTCCAATTGGGCGAAGGTATGCTATTATTATATCATAATAACTTTGTCATTGACAAAATTTATTAATATTTTCTTTTTAAGAACAAAAGGCTCGTAGAAATAAAGCAGTAGCCTTGTCTCTAAAGAAGCTGCCTCCAACGGAAGAAGAAAAGGAACTTATTCATAAGTTATTTCTCGAACACCATAATGGTGCAGGTAAATTGCATGGCTATTAATCATACACATTAAATAGTCTTTTATTATGCTAATTTGAATCCTGCAAATGACAAGAGAAGCACGATAACTTTGTGTGGATGGATGAGACCACCATGGAGTCTGTGACGTTCATGACACCACAGGTTTGAAAATGTATGAGCATTAAACAATGATATTAGATACATTTCCATACTGGTTTTTTTTTTCTTATATTTAGAACAGAAATATTCATGGAAATATTTTTGGAGGATATCTTATGATATTGGCTTATGAGGTTTTGTCTTTTTCAAAAACATTGTTTTTATTGTTACTTTTTAGGTCATAATAATAACAAATTTACTAACCAATTTGAAAAATACAATGATAAATAGCTTGCATTTTCGAATGCATGTGTGTTTCTTCGTAGTCAACCAACATTCTTAGCATTGGATGAAATTTCTTTTCGGAAACCAGTTCCAATCGGATCAATATTAAGCATGAGTTCTCAAGTAGTTCATGCAGAAGGGCCACCGCATAAGAGTTTCCAAGTTGCAGTATGTACAAACAATTTTTTTTTTTTAAACAATTTTTTCAGTCTTTAATGTTTATTACATATAGGTCACGGCCGACGTTATAGATATTGAAAGTGGAAAGCGCGAAACCACAAACGTTTTTCATTTTACTTTTAGATCAAATAATGTAGATAATGTTCGTAGAGTGATGCCAAAGACTTACATTGATTCATTGAAATGCGTTGAAGGTAAAAGGCGTAGAGATATTGGGTTAAAGCTTCGAAAATTGTATAATGATAATGAGACATAGATTACAATATTACAATAATAATTTGTAACGTTAATAATAAATAATGCTTTCATATTTGCATAAGATATATATTATAAAACGGATAAAAACGGATAAAAAACTATATTCGTACAAGTCAATGTCATTAAAATATTATACGTATCGATAATTTTGTTCAATATAAAAAATAACACGTGATCGCTTATTACATAATCTAGCTGGGGAGCGAAACTAATTGCTAAAGTGCGAGAAAAGTTTTTATGACTATATTATGAGAAAAATATCTTTATATACATACACGAAAATTTAAAACCGAACATTGCTGTAATATTCACTACCTGTGTCATCGTTTGTAAAGATGTTGGTAGGTTCACGTTGTACCCAAATTGTAGGACCCGAACCCGAAAATGCGCCACATAACGACCCGTCACTATCTAATTTCATAGGTTTCAAATCTATCTGTGGTCTCTTTGTTTGTTGGAACCATTGATGTCGTACAGCTGCATTCTTTCTTTTTACTTCCGGTGACGCCATTTCCTATTTCATACCAGACAAAAAAAACTTTAGTATATATCAATAATTTCACTAGACGCGCAAGAACGTTACACATACTTCGCTAGTCATGTTTGCAACATCTTCTGGTGAAATAATACCAGAAGCAACTTTCTTGGCGAAATTAGGGTTACTTTTATCCTTTAAATTCCATAACTTGGAATAACAATTTCTTTTGTAATTCTCATCACTTGTCATTTGATCAGAATTTTGAAATATTTTGTTTTCGATTCGTATGGCGATATCAAGAATTCTCTGCCTCACGCCTGCCCATATTCAATCAAACACGGATTTTAAGAGATATGTATTTATTTTATACCATAAGGTGTTACAAAAGAAGTATTCTTACGTACTTATATTTGGATTTGGTTCCGTAATCGTCTTACGTAATGCATCATAAATCAATTTTATATCTGTAAAAAAAAAGAAGAATGAATAGTTGATGGATTTTTAAATGAACAGAATAATTTTTTTCTTTGCGTACACTTGTTTCGACGTTCACTGCCAGTATTTATTTCTGTTGGTAGATCTCCATCTGGTTTGATCACACAGTCCTTCCTCACGATCGGTTTAGGTAACTTATATCGTGGTATATAACTATGATGGATAATTATATTCTTCACGCTGAGACTTCGTTTAATGTGCCTCGGCATGTTCATAATATATATATATATATTTGAGAGAGAAAAAAGAAACAGATCTATACAATATTCTATTCTTGTGTGCTTGATTAATTACACCGT